CAGGTCAAGCCCTAAGGCCATGGAAAAAGCCAATGTCCTAGTCCAAAGTTCATCAGGCAGAAAGAATTCTTACTCAAGGAAGGGTCAGTCTTTTTGTCCTATTCAAGCTTTCAATTGATAGGATAAGGTCCACTAACATTAGAAATCGCAATCTGCTTTGAGGTTAAATGATAATCTCATCCAAAATACCCTCACAGAAACACCCAGAATATTTGACCAAATAAATATCTAGGCACTACACAGCTTAGTCAAGTTGAAAATAAAATTAACCATCACACCTTCTTGAGTTAATTTTTGCAAAATGTATAAGCTTCAGGTCAAAATTCATTCATTTATTTATTGTCTATGGATGTCCAATTGTCCTAGGACCATTTCATAAAAAGGCTACCTTTCCTCCATTAAATTGCTTTTTCATTATTGTCAAAAATCAGTTGGGTGTATTTGTATGGGTCTGTTTCCAAGTTCTGTTGATCTATGTGTCTGTCCTTCACCAATGCAATACAGTCTTCATGACTGCAGCTAAATAACCAGTCTTACAATTGGGTAGACTGATTCCTCCCACTTTATTCTTTTAAAAATATGTGTTAGCTATTCTAGTTTGTTTGCCTTTACATATAAATTTTAGAGTAATCTTGTCTGTATTTACAAAAATATTGCTGGGGTTAGAATAGGAAGTGCATTAAAACAGTAATCAATTTGGGAAAAAATGACATCTTTATTACTATGTTGAGTCTTCCAATGCATAAACATGATGATGTAACTCTCTATTTAGATCTCCTTGGATTTCTTTTATCAGCATTGTGTAGTTTTCTTCAGCATACAAGTTCTGTACATGTTTAGTGACAGTGACACCTATTTATTTCCTTTAGCAATTTTAAGTGAAATTATATTTTTAATTTCAGTGTCCACAAGATCATGGCTACTATATAGAAATGCATTTTACTTTTGTATATTTATTTTGTACCCTGCATCTTTGCTAGAGTTGCTTACTTCTACTAGGTTTTTGTTTTTGTTTAGATTCCTAGGGATTTTCTGCATGATCAGTCATGCCATCTGCAAATAGAAATAGTTTTATTTATTCCTTTATGATCTATGTGACTTTTATTTCCTTGTCTTGTCTTACTATACTGGCTGGAACTTACAGCATTTTGTTGAATAAGGGTGGTGAGAGCAAGTATCTTTGCCTTGTTCTTGATCTTACAGGGAAAGCAGTCAATCTTTCACCATTAAATATAATGTTAGCTGTAGATTTTTTTGTAGATGTTCTTTATCAAGTTGAGGAAGTTCCCCTGTATTCCTATTTTTCTGAGAGTTGTAATTATGAATGAGTGTCAAATTTTGTCAGATGTCTTTTCTGCATTGATATGATCATACAATTTTTCTTCTTTAGCTTGTTAATAATATGGTAGATTACATTGATTGAATTTCAAATATTGAACCAGCCTTGCATCTCTGGAATAAACTCCAGTTCATCATGCGTGTACTTACCTTTTGGAAATAAGATTCACCAGTGGAATTTAGAAATGATGGATTCCACTCCCAGGGAGTTGGCTCATTGGATGCAAAATAAATGCAAAGTAACAAGAAAAAAGCTGAACATGTAATCCTTTGATGATGATGATGATGATGATGATGATGATGATGATGATGATCTGTAATAGCTGAAAGTAAGGGATAGTGTTGGGGCAGATCCTGAGGCTGGGCCAAGCTTGAATCCTGGACAGTTTGAGCTGCAGCTGCTACCTCAGGGCCACCTCCAAAGGTAAAAGTTATGCTGAACAACATATAGCAGACTAATTCCAAGACAATAGGGAAATAGAAAAGGGAGAGTGAATGAAATATTTAAACAGTTATTAAGAAATGGTATGAATAAAGCAGGCACAAAACAGAAGTCTTGATGCAGCACTCTCAGAGGCTGGGTGGCCCAATGGGAGCCTCTGCTGGTCCACTAACATTGAAGGGCCCTAAACAAATCCATCCTAGTTCTGATAAATCCTAAAACCTGCAAAGCAAAGATGACAAGAAGAAACCTGACCTCCATTCGCCTGTGGTAATGATGTGCAAGGTAATCAAGATAATAACTAAAGAAAGAAACTGGGTCCATTGGTCCCAACCCCTGGCTGGGGGCCCAAAGCCAAATTTACCTGAATAGGTAAATAGTCATGGGTGGCAAAGAAACATTTCTGAAATTCCTTGGTATGGGGGCCCCATATAATGTGGTTCTAAAACCTATTGGTAAAGTCCTAACAGAGGCTACATTTAAATTGGGAAGATGTGGAAATATAAGGTTTGGTAGGATTAAGGTGAAATTTGGATAAAAACTGAACATTTGAACAGACTATATGAAGTGGTTGCATCTCCTTATCATGAATGTACTGTTGGGATGGATACTGTGTCTCCCCAAGAGTTTCCCTTAACAGGAATTACAAAATGTAAGGCAGTTAAATTTGGCCTTCAGGCAATTTGATTGGACATGCTAAATTGGAACAAATAAGATTACTGGGTCCACATAAGCTATTAATTTTAAAAAGTAGAGGATACCTGGTGGACAAAACATGTGCAGTGTCTGCTGCCTGAAAGGGTTTTCCTGGTTTTGGAAACTGATAAGTGTTAAATGGGAACCTGCAAGCCTGAATTGCAGTGCTCTGGGTGATAGAGATAGTTTGGTCATATGTTACGATTGTCAGTGTGGCGTTCTACCCTCAGTTCTTGGTGTGCTCTTGGCCAAAGAATGGCCAGACACACCAAAGTGTCAAGTCCAGACTATTATCCTGGTCCTCTGATTCCTTACTTGGAAAAGTCACCAATAGGGCCAATGCCACAGAGTAACCTCAGGCAGGAAGCAGTTTCACAGGAGCAGCTCATTACTGTACAACAAAATGGGTGAGTCTCCATGAGTAGAGAGAGACCGACCGATCAAGTCACTGACTCACTCTCCCTGAATTCTCGGATTTTTCCTTTTATTAGCCTAGTCCTGGGGAGGGCTCTCAGGAGGTGTGGGAATGTTATGAAATGATCGACAGGTGTCCTCAAAATTCCATCTGCCTATAAGAGCTCCTTCTCTGAAAGCTCATGGGGGGGGGACCATGATGCAGATTGAAGCTGATGGCATAATAATTACCCTTAGGTTACTCTAACTCACTTTGGAAACCCTATTATGCCTGGGCTGGGGAATTCCCAGATTGAGAACACAGTCCCTCTATCCCAGGTGTTGCCTGGGCTAGGATTAAGGGTGGGGCAACACCAAAATGGAGTGCCACCCTTATCCTTCTTCCCAAGTGGAGCCATTGCCTAAGACAGCACCAAAACAGGGCACCCTGGTCCCTAGAAGAGCCAGAGATCCTATCTACCTAATATCATGATGAATAGGACAGGACCAATTGTTGATGACTGAGTAGATGCTAGTAATATGTCACTATCTTTTGACTCTTATTTTCCACGTTATGTTTACTACCATACAGGATAACACCTAGCAGCATTAGTGAGATTGTAATACTGATTATAATAATATTGATGATCAGTGTATTGGGAAATTGAGTTAAAAGTCTCCTACTCCACACTGGTTCCTCCAAATGTTGGACATATGTTCATTTTTCTGTAAGATAGCTTTGGCCAGAGGTTAGGTGGCAGCCTGTGTAGTAAAAGAATTCAGCCTTTTCTGAAAAGGTTTGACCTTTGCCCTTGGCTTTTGGTAGGTCATGTATGTCATACCTGATAGGAGTGTCTTTGTTTAGATGGGGATTGGCCATGCCAGAAAAGTCAACCATGTGATTTCAGTGGGGGCTGTGTGTTATGCACTATCAGTCTAGTTGGAGACTGAGTTCATCCACGTGGACAATTAATCAAGCCTATGTAATGAGGCCACAATAAAACTTCTGGACACAGAAACTCAGATGACCTTCACTGATTGGCAATACTCCAAGCATATTGTCACATACCAATGCTGGGAGGGTCACACATCCTGACTCCATGGGAGATGACAACAGAAGATTTGCATTTGGAACTCTCCAGATTTTGCCCCTATACGTTTACTTCCTTGGCTTATTCTGATCTATATTCTTTCCTGTAATAAACTGTAACCACGAATACTCATAACTTTCAGTGAATTCTATGAGTCTTTCCAGTGAATTATCAAACCTGAGGGTGGTTTGGGAACCTCCAAACTTGCACTGGTGTCACAAGTCTTGGGAACTGCCCTCTCAAGTCTTGCAGTTTGGCTTACTCTGGACAGTAAGAAAAGAAATACAGTACAGGATTTCTTTGGGGGTGTGACAAAAATGTTCTAAAAGTTATGGTTGTGATGGCAGCACAACTCTGTGACTATATTAAAACCCATTTATTATGCACTTTAAATCGGTGAATCGTATGGTAGAGTATGTGAATTCGATTTCAATAAAGCTGGTTTGGTTTTGTTTCGTTTTGTTTTGAACCTGCTTTGGTAAAGAAGATGAACACAGAGCTCAATCAACGAAACTGAATCATCTAAGTGATTTTTCAAAACTCCACGTTAAGGCTTTCCGGTCCTCTGAAAAGCGAAAGTGCTGTGACCATTTTCTCAGTACACTAAGAAAACATGAAAGGGAAGCTGGGATTTCAGGGCTTAATCTTCGGGCTTCCACACTGTTTATCACACTCCGACGTACAGCCCGGGCGGCGGTACTCACGAAATGGCGGCGCTCCCCGCGCCGGGGTGCTGCTGATGCAGGAGGTTTGGGGTCTGCAGACCTGCTCTGCGAGGTCCTAAGAGGCACCCTCAAATCAACCCAGGAGCAAGTCACCCAGCCCTTCCCGGGAGCGCTCGCAGGTGGCGCTGCCCGCTGCACGCTCGGGGACGCCCCGGTTCGGCAGCGCAGGTTGCGGGGCCCGTCCCCACGCCGGGGGCTGTGGGGGACACCAGTGCACCCCAGAAGCGGTTCGGTCCGCGAGGCGGCGGCGGCGGCCTCAGAGCGTGCGCGGCAGCCCCTCCCCGCCTGGGCGGCGCCCCCGCCCGGCTCCTCCTCTTCCCCTCCGCGCCGCCCCGCCCCGCTGCGAACCCAAACACTGCGCCGCGCTGCGCGAGCCGCGCGTGACGCTCCGCCGCCGCAGAGCCCAGCGCGCCTGAGCCTGCGCGGCCCCCGCCGCCGCAGCCGAGCGATGCTGCTGCTGGCCGCCGCCTTCCTCGTGGCCTTCGTGCTGCTGCTCTACATGGTGTCTCCGCTCATCAGCCCCAAGCCCCTCGCCCTGCCTGGGGCGCATGTGGTGGTGAGTGGCCTCCTGTTGCTGCGCCCCGACATCCCGGCCCGCTCGGCCAGCCGGCCACTGAGGCGGGGCCGCCGCCGTCCCTTTCTCCAGGCCAGGGTCCCCAGGAAGGGACGGCCAAATGGGGAGAGTCACCTGCCGCCGTCCACTCCGGCACTGTCACCTCAGGCCGAGCACCCGGCCTTTGGAACCCTCCCGCCGTTGCACCTGGCGCCTCTTGGGGCTGGAGAGCGGTGCGACCGGGGGACAGCGCCAGCCAGCAGGGTTCCCGGGGCTCCGGAGGCACAGTAGCTGCTCGTTAATTCACGAGCATCCCTGGGATGTGGATATTTTGTTCTCCGTTTTCCTGATGAGTCAGCTGAGGAACAGGGGCTGAGAAACTTAGCCAAGGACACAGCGGTCGGTGGTGCGCGGGGTACGGAGCGCGGTGCCAGGGAGGGCGCAGACGCCACTGGGTCGCGAGGGGGAGGGCGGGTCCCACCGCCAGGACCCGCTGAGGCAGCCCCCAAGTGGAAGACGGCCTGTTCGAGTGACAGGAAGAGCAGTTGCCAAAAGATTCCAGGAAGTGACTCTGAACCCAGTGGGCTGGCGGTCCTGGTTAGCGGTGTTAGGACGCTTCTGTCCCGTCTGCACACTTGTCTCTGAGCTCAGTCCAGGGACTGCTGATGGCTGCTTCAAAGCAATCCTTTGCCATTACTTCAGAGTCAAAAGGGGGAGCCTAACGACACGGATGGTGCTTTGGGAGTGAAGGAGATGTGGGTAGGTTTGGTTTGTGTCCTGCCGGAAGCTCGCGTATCCAGCGATCCCTATTCTGCATGTGTGGCACCTTCCTTACCGTGAGAGAGGACGCCTCCCCGCCCGCGCCAGCACTGGACCGTGTGCGGTAGCTTTTTCCTCGGCTTTCTTATTCGGATCTCCTACCCCCAAAGCACACCGAGGCGGGGAGTTAGGAGTAAGGAGAGTTAGTTACTAACTAAGCCGGCAGCACGTACGGTATCTTCCTGGCACATCGGCTCCGCGTCAGCGCTCTGAGCCTCCCCACCGAGCTGTTGTAGAATAAGGTGGTCGTTTCTTCAGTGTGCTTTAAATCTGGACAAGAGTTTGTGAATGAGGCCGTGTATTTTCTTTGATTTCTCCTTTGTAAAAAAAAAAAAAAAACAACAAAAAACTATATAATCATACTAAACTCTGAAAGTTTCACAGCCACAAGAAAACTTCTGCCACAAAAGGATTCTTTCAGGACTTGTGCTTGCAGAGGGTAATTTGGAAAAAAGTAGTAGCAAAAGCAGAATGAAAAATGTGATTCCTTATTTATAAGACATTTTCACTTAACCCTGACTGTAGTCCTTCCAGCTCCGTGGAGCTGCAGGTCATAGGTATGATGAATAAATATCATGTCTGGTTGGGATAGACTAAGGAGAATTTCTTATTATTACCATCCCACTTTAAAACAAAGGATTATTATTTCACACTATAAATAAGGTGAGAATGACTTAATTCATACGGATGTCACCATCTGTCTTCTTTTATAATGTCCTAAGAGAAGAGTGAAAGTGTAATTATTTTTCCTGAGATTTCTTAAGAAAAAAAGAAAAAAATTTAAAATAAGACTAGACTGGTTGGTTTTAGGAGGGGGAGCTAATCTTTAGGCTGTCTGCTTATGTGGAAGCATGAACAAACTTATAACTATTGTTTATTTTTAGAAAAATTCTTATATATTGGTGTTATCAATCTAATTACAGTAGCAAAACTGCAGCAAGTCTCACACAGTATATAGTTATTTATATATCTTCCCCTTTTTGGGGATGACTGGGAGTAGCTCTCCTGGCAGCAGTCCCTTTGTTGCCGTTAATAACAGCTATGTGATGTGATTAAGATAGTAACACTTAAAAAACATTTGCAATGAATAGTAAGAGGGAATAAAGGAAATTGAACTATTATCTTTAGTGTGTCCTATCAGGGCTCGATTTAGCAGCAGTTGTCTGGCAACTCAATAGACATTTATCACTTTTTTCAGCCCTTGTGGAAATCCCTTGCATTTTCTTATAACATTCAGAATAACATAGCCCAATTGGCATAAATGTATTCTTGGATACCTTCTAAGAATTACCTGACTTGACTAGGTTAGTTTCCCATGAACTACACTCCAAAATGATGTCAGACTCTTCTTGTGGGTTTGGGTTTAAACTTGTTTCTTGCCTTGCAGTAAATTTACACAGCTAGCTTACATATATATATGGTCTAGAAAAAGGAAATGATAGCAATAGCTTAAAATCTACAAAGCACTTCAGAGCATATACATTTTCTCAGTAACCTCATAACTTCCACTAATTCATTGAATAATTAATTCAATTAATTCATTGAATAACAAACAGATAAATTTTATTTACAAGGGTTTCTTTTGGCATTATACTTTTCAGAGAAATGGCATCATACACCAATTTGCAAATTAACATAGGCAAGTATTTATTTAGCAATTGCTTATGTGAGGTGCTATTCTAGGAATGAGTGAAATCAGTTGGACTTGGTTCTCATCCTTAGAGAACTGATGTCTGGCAAGGGAGCTAAGATATGTAAGCAACTGCACAAGGTAGATGTGACAGCTAAGGTTAGGACTGGGTAACAAAGTCAGGAAAAGCTTCATGGAGGAGGATATGTTTGAGCTGGGCTCTGTAGGATGGGTAGGGTATGGAAATGTACGTGTGTGTGGCATGTGAGTAGAAGGACATCTAAGCAGCAGGGGCAATGTCATAAAACAGGAACATTTTGGGGGGTCCTGCCAGTTCCTGTGGAATTGCCATATCTGGTGATATTTAATAAGCCAAAACAACCCATGAACTGTCCCTTTAGCAGAGACCTCTTCAGAGTCAACCGTTAGCTTAGGCAATAGGTATATTTTTACAGCATTCTTCTGTAATTAATTGGTTAATTATCCACCAAAGAAATCTCTTCAGTAGTGGCAAGTTGAGGCTAAAGAGTTATAAGAGATGCCTGTGAGTCAAATAGAAGTAGATGCATTTGTGTAGGAGGCACTCCACGATGATTTGAAAATCCTGGGATAGGGTCAGAGCTCTTCCTTACAGCATGATTTATGTATAACAGTAAAATATTAAGAAATAATCTAAATATCTGAGTATAGGGAAATGGTTAAGTTTGGATATAGCTATTTAATGCAATATTGTGAAGCCTTTTAGTTTTTTGACGTAAGACATTATGATATAATTTTTTTAAAAATGGGATACAGTACCATGCAATATTATATAATTTGCATGGGGACAAAATGACTAGAAAGATAATGTTGCAGTTGTCTTACTCAGTGAAATATATATCAAATCCTCCCTGTGCTAAGAGAGAAGTTTATGGGGTGGTGATAGAGAGATGACTGTGAATCAAATAATCACACAAATGAATGTATGGCTGTTTCATTCTGTGTGTGCCATAGAGAGGAAGGAATGCAGTGCTGAAAAGTGAGGCAGGGTGGGGCTGAGAGGCAGCAAAGGCTTTCCTGAGGAAGTGATATTTGAGCTGAGATTTGATGGGTGAGTAGGTGCCAGTTAGATGAAAAGAGGGGAGGAGAGCATTCCTGGCAAGAGAAATAGAATGTGCAAAGGCACTGTGGTTGGAAGGTACATGGAACTATGGAACTGAAAGACAGCTGATATAGCTAAGGTATAGATAATGAGGGGGAAAAAGAAAACCTTTACTTTTCAGATTTTTCTTATGATTATATATTACTTTTATAGAAAGCACTCATTTCAAATATCATAAGATATATACAGATGACCGTTCTTTTAATCTGTTGTAGTCATACCGATAGATACAGTAAGGAAATAAGATTCATTTGGATTTGGGATCAGAGACAGACTAATGTTTACTAGCTAGACTTATAGATTACTTTTTTGCCAATAAATTCAGAAAAATATCCTAACTGTGTAATTTATGCTTCAGTACTGAAAACTATCAAAGCAGCAAGCCCTACTGACAATCTTTCATGTTTGCAGTTATTCCAGTTGTTAAGTTTGGTATGAAGAAGATACAATAGCTAAACATTTAGGTCTTGTAGATTCATTTTTAGAGCATATCATAGTTACTTTTAAATTAAGATTTTTAAAAATCTTCCTACAGAGGGGAAATTTCAAGTGCTAAGAAGATTTTATGATTTTTGTTTTTAGGTTACAGGAGGTTCCAGTGGCATTGGGAAGTGCATTGCTATCGAGTGCTATAAACAAGGAGCATTTATTACTCTGGTTGCTCGAAATGAGGTAAGTCTTCTAGGTTTGTTATTACTAACTTACTTATTCAACTTTACATTAGTTAAAGAGGCTTGCTGAACTTCTTAGCATTCACATCTGTACTGGAAAATGCTTGGCTTCCTTAATTTGAGATATGATTCCTGAACTACTGGTTCTTTCTCATATGTAGGCCAAATACTTCTCAACTGAAGTCAGGTCAGCTCAACAGAAGTTTATTTATGCCATTAACATATTAGGCAACATCATCATAGATACCGCAGATCTTGAGTTAGAAGAGGCCAAGGAATAGTTAGGTAGCACAGCTGGCCATCGGAAGCCAGGCAGGGCCCTCTGTCAGGCCAGAGGTGTTAGAAGCAGTGATTCTGGAGCTGAGACCTGAAGGTGTGTAGGTGTTTCTCTGTATAATTTACTTATGACATGATAGATATCGCTCGTGAAATCTAGACACCACAGAGGAGTCTCATTCTTCCCTAGAAGTTTAGCATAACATGTTTTTCTAAGTCAAGTTGATGCAAGATCTGTTTTTCTTTATGTCATAATTTGTTATTCTTACCAAAGTTGTTTTTGGAGTGCAAAGCAGTGATACTGTGTGCACACGAACTGTCTCAAAGTCCTCTTGCTCCCCATATGGGAGCCAGGGGATAGTGTCCATAGCTGCCCTGTCCACTGCTGCTTATTCTGTGTCTGGCACATAGCATATGCTCAAACATATTTGCTGAATGAAGAAATGAAGGGAGGAATGATGAAGAGTGTGAGAATGCCAGAATGGCATCGTTGCGTGGGGATTTGGGATTCATCTACACCAAAGGATGGTAATAGTATGGTAACTGCTCAAGTAGGGCATGGATAGTGGAACAGAGCCCAGTGGGAATGGCAGGTCAGGGAGGGCCTTTGGGGGAAAGTGTTTAAATAATGACACAGAATTAGGCCTGGTCATCCACAATTTCTTTTAAAAACTAAGAAAGGCAGAATTAGCTACCTGTCTTTTATTTATAGCTTTACTTCTCAAACAGTGAATTTGCTTTGGCATTGAAGCCATCTTATGTGAGTGAAGACACAAATTTAATAAAATGGCATTTTGTGAGTTTTAAACAATGCCATTATTTGACTCAAGATAAAGAAAAATGGAGGCAGAGCAGCCAAGTGTTTTAAGTGCTCAGGATCTCTTAGAGGGTCCTTGCAGTGTTAGAAAGGAATGAGCTGAAGAGCCTCTGGCATCAAGACATTCTTTCTTTTCTTTTTTTTAAATCTAATTTTACTTTTTCACTGCCATGCCAGTGTTAGGAACCGGGCTGCCCAACAAGAGGTGAGCGGCAGGTGAGCAAGCAAAGCTTCTTCTGTATTTACAGGCGCTCCCCATCGCTTGCATTACTGCATAAGCTCCACCTCCTGTCAGATCAGCAGTGGCATCAGATTCTCCTAGGAGCACAAACCCTACTGTAAACTGCACATGTGAGGGATCTATGTTGTGTGCTCCTTATGAGAATCTAATGCCTGACGATCTGAGGTGGAGCTGAGGTGGTGATGCTAGTGCTGGGGAGATTTATCATTAGCAGAGAGGTTTGACTACAAAATAATGGTAATGCACTTGAATCATCCTGAAACCATCTCGCCCACCATCCCCAGTCCATGGAAAAATTGTCTTCTGTGAAACCAGTCCGTGATGCCCAAAAGGTTGGGAACTGCTGCTTTTTTATTCCAGTCTCAGCAAAGTCAAGTTTTATGTATCTTTAGTAATAGAACAATGTTATTGTATTATAGACATGTTCAGGTTTAGAAACCTTGTATGTCCTTTGGAAGAATTTTCCTCCTCTTTTTTCTTCTTGATATCATACTGTTATTTAACTTACTTTTGTAGCAAATTAAGATACTATAATTCAATATCTGTTTCCTTGAAAGTAAGTAAAACAAACAAAATTGAGACCTTACAAGAATTACTCAGTTACTTGGGTGCTTTGCTTGTCTTCAGAGTATTTTATAAAGTAGCCAGGTAGAGGTTTACCCGTTTCAGCTAGAAAGTGATTTTTACTATATTTGCTTTTATAATAGAGCAGGGAAATTTTGGAAAATATCTTATGAAAGCACTCTTGACATAGGATCATACATACCTTTAAATTTGAAAGCATTGCACATTAATATGTTTGCTCTTGTTTTGGTTCATAACTTAATAATGTCAGATGAAACCATTTATGAGAACTGTACCATAACTATCAGTAGTTAATACTGTTAATTTTATTTTTCTATTATCTTTCTCTGCAGTGAATTTAAAACCCTGTTATCACTTAGTCATATCTGAATATACTTTACAGTTTTTCTCTCCTAGACTGTGGCCCAGTCCACCTTTGCAGTGTAGATACTCTTTTGTGTATTTTCTAGAATTTAACAAATAATACTTAAACAAACACTTAGACAAATAATTGCTTTTTCTTTCATTTTCAACAAACAGACATAGGTATAGACAATCACTAGAACTAATTGTTCCATGTTGCTTTCAGGACAAGCTGCTGCAGGCAAAGAAGGAAATTGAAAAGCACTCTATTAATGATAAACAGGTAAGTCTCTGTCTTTAGTATGCATTCTCTGACATCAGCACACTTCTATAAAGGAGAAAAGGATTACCTTCAACTGTGAATAGTTAACTGAAAGCATATATGCTTTTCTTAATTAAAATTAACACATATTACACTCTTTTTTAAAAATGTAAAATTGTTTGAATTGTCTAGGAACTCAAGTTATACCCCCCCCCAAAAAAGGATTGACTCAACACACATCCACAAATGGTCAAATAACAGAATGTTTTACTAGAAAATGATTTCATTTGAATCATTTATTTAAATGAACTTTATACAAATGCTTAAGAGGAAAGGGGTATTTAAAAGCCTTTTGGATTATGGAATTTTTTGATGAATAAAATGGCATCTATAATATACATTTCAGTATAAAACATAATAACAAATTAATCACCACACACCTATCACCCAGCCTAAGGAATAGAATTTATCAGAGTCTCTGAAGCCCCCTATATGCTCCAAGGCAGCCTCAATCTCCCTTGTCTTGTTCCTAGAGGTACCCCCACCCTGATTTTTGTGTTGTTCCTTCCTTTGGTTTTCTTTACCATTTTATTATATATGCATGTGACCCTGAATTATCTGTTGTTCAGTTGTGTTTTGAACTTTATGGTATCATTCTTATTTATTTACTTATTTTGAGATAGAGTCTTGCTGTCTTGCCCAGTGTACAGTGACATCATCATAGCTCGCTGCACCCTCAAACTGCTAGGCTCAAGCATCCTCCTGCCTCAGCCTCCCCAGTGGCTGGGACTGTAGGCGTGCACCACTACAGGCTAATTTTTCTATGTTTTGTAGAGATGAGGTCTTCTCTTACTCAGGCTGATTAACAAACTACTTCATGCTTTCTTGTGCAACTTTATTTCTTTACTTGATATTATTTTAAAAATTCATCTATGTTGCCACATAAACTAGGAGTTCATTTTTTTTAACTGCTGTCTAGTATTGTATGTACAGATTACCTTTTGTTCATCAGTTCCACTATTGGTGGATATTTAGGTTGTTTCCAAAAGTTGTTTCCTTTTTTTGTTTGTTTGTTTTTGTTTTTTGCTTTCAGAAGAGTTTTCACTATGTCTCTTTGTATACATGTACAGGAATGGTGCATACCTAGAAATGGAACTGCTGAGTAGTAGTATGATGTGAGTCTTCAGTCTCACCAAGGTGGTCACGGTCCCACCATTTGGATTTCAGTTCCTGTTGCACCACATCCTTGTCAACACTTGGTATTGGCAGACTTTGATTTTTGCCTTTTTGATGAGTTTTAGATAGTATTTCATTGTGGTTTTAATTGCCTTTTCCCCTCTCCAGAATAGGTTAGAGATCTTTCCATGACAATTAAATAAATCTGCCTCATTTTTTAAACTACTGCAGCAGAGTTAAATAAACCAGAGTTTATTTAAATCAGTCCCTTGTTGCTGAGCTGTTCCTGTTCTTTTTTGTTTGTTTTTGCTATTGCAATCTATGCCACGGGTAAAACTCCTCGTCCCTATCTCATGTGTATGTGGGAGTTTTTCTCTATGACTATGGCCTCTGCCTGTAGCCTCTTCTCCAAAACCCACAAGCATTGGAAGAACAGCAACCCCAGCCTCCATTCTTTCCATACTCCTGTAACTTCTGATAGAAAAAGGAGTGTGGTGTAAAACCACACGGATCCTGAATGCTCATGGCCAAGGCCAGTCTTGCCTGCTGCCATCACCATCTCTCCCTCTCTTTATCTATTAAAACATGTTAGGGCAGGTAGAAAACTCTTTTCTTTCATATCAAGGAAGGGAGGTTATCAGGCCTGGGGCGGGCAAAAGTGAGCTTGATCCTTTGTCCTACCAAGCTTATGCGAGCTGTTTTATTTTTTTTGTGCCTTAACTTTTTTTTTTTAATTTTATTTGTCTGTGGTATAGATTTTATTTACAGTAACTGATCTAATACTGTATGAAAAGGCATATTTTAAAAGTAATCATATGATTCCCACTGCCTTTAAAAATGTTTTCTGTGTGAGGATGTCGGGATAGAATCCACTTTCAGCCAAGGGCAACCCCTCTAGACTGGAATACTTCAGGTTATGTTTGTGATCGCGGCATTTACTTTTCTTATAAATTTACATCATTTGGATGGGAGCTCCTTCTTGCATTAAATAAAACTTCCTGCCCTTAAGGCAATGGGTCCCTTTTTATTCAGCCCTTCGGCATAGTTTCTCAGAGCAGGAGAGAATCTTGGACATCGTTAGCTACTGATGGCCTTATTTACAGTGGAGGCCACTGCACCCTTCTCAGGTTCTGCTGGACTAGAAAGTGAAGAGCCAGCATTGTATGTGCACATTGTTTCTGTGTGGATGTGCCGCCTATACACATGTGTTCTCTCTCTGTGTTAGTGTGGCAGCCAGTCTGAAAAAGGAAGAATTAATGGAAAGGCTGAGAAATTGAGAACCCCATTCTGCTTCTTGCGATGACCTCCTTTGGAACTTAGAACGTTCCTCTGTCGGAGATCTAAACTCTGGATCTGAAAACACTACTCGAAAAGGAAAATCAAAAGGGCTCTTGATGTCTTTTTCATAAATTTCTATCAAAGTATGCACCCGAGTCTGTGCTTCCTCCCTTTTTACCTCCTTCCCTTTCTTTTTTTTCTTTTCAAAGTCTAAATGGAATCATTGTCTGTGATAAGAACAGGCTGTGCTCTTCCCCACCATCACTCTGCTACGGCCCCCTGAGCATGGCTGGGTTTGTCCTGGGTTACCCTCTGGGGTCTGTTTGGTGTCTCTTATCCAGATAATTTTGTGAATGGCCTGATCAGCTCCAGAGTCAGGGGTCTCAAGCAAACCTCAGATGCCACTCTGCACCCAACTCAGGTCTGACAGGCCAAGACTGACCCTCAGCCTTCCTCGTCAGATAATGTCCCTCGGTCTACTTGGCTTATCACTGACTCAGTCTTCAGCATGGGCCCAAGCTGAGGTGACTTCTGAAATAGGTGTTTGCTCAACACTTTGTTCTACCTACTGATATTGAATCTCAACAAGGTAGTCATAGCCAGTACTGCTTCAAGGGGAGTATCTTTAAAAACTTATTAGGTTTGTTGTTATTCCTTTTAAAAGTTTCATTGAGATATAATTTATGTATAATAAACCATACCCATCTGAAGCATATAGCTGGATGGCTTTTGACAGATGAAACACCACTGCAATGGGACACAGAGCATTTTCATCATTCCCCAAAGTCTGCCCATGCCCTTTTGAAGTTCTTTCCATCTTCCACTCCTGGCTGCATGGCCCCCAATCTCCCTTTTGTCATTATAGATTAGTGGCATTTCAAGAGGAGCATTTTTACATTTCTTAAACCATTCTTTGGAGTTTGCTTAACTCCAAAAACTGCTAAGAAAATTAGACTCTACTAATTGCATTGTCAGCAGATTTCAAACACTACAATTTGTACATTCAAAATTGGCCTTTATTGAGGAGAATTGCCTTTAATTTTAAAAACATCCTTTTTTTTTTTGAGACAAAGTCTCGCTTTGTTGCCCAGGCTAGAGTGAGTGCCGTGGCATCAGCCTAGCTCACAGCAACCTCAAACTCCTGGACTCAAGCAATTCTGCTGCCTCAGCCTCCAAAGTAGCTGGGACTACAGGCATCCACCACCATGCCCAGCTCATTTTTTCTATATATATTAGTTGGCCAATTAATTTCTTTCTGTTATGAGTAGAGATGGGGTCTTGCTCTTGCTCAGGCTGGTTTCGGACTCCTGACCTCAAGCAATCCGCCCGCCTCAGCCTCCTAGAGTGCTAGGATTACAGGCGTGAGCCACCGCGCCCGGCCTAAAAACATCTTTTAAAAATAGTTTTGACGCTGCATTTTTGATCATTTTTTTTTCTTTTTTTAACAGGTGGTGCTTTGTATATCAGTTGATGTATGTCAAGACTATAACCAAGTGGAAAATGTCATAAAACAAGTAAGAGGTTGGGCTAATTGGAATTAATGCGCTTGACTTTTGATTGGTTCTTACCATTTGCTGTGTGACTTGGAATTGGTAAATCTTCCCTATAGGTTTAATAGTTTAGATGTTATTTATTAGCATTGATTTGCTGCTGTGGTTTTTCTCTTCTCTTTCATAATGCCTGCTCTAATACTTTTTTCTAGGCGCAGGAGAAACTGGGTCCAGTGGACATGCTTGTAAACTGTGCAGGAATGTCACTGTCAGGAAAATTTGAAGATCTTGAAGTTAGTACTTTTGAAGTAAGTAAAAATGTTCGCTCACTAGGGTGGCCCATGTACTAAAAGTAGAATAAGCCATGGGTAAAGGCTTTAAGACTGAAACCATTGAATGCATTCGGATGTTCATGGAAGTTTGAGAGGACCAGAAGAAGGCTGAACAAGGTTTTGGTCCCAGTGCCATGACCATCTAACCTTAAGAATTTAGACGAGTTTCTCAGCCTTGGTTCTCTCAGCTGTGAAATGGGGTTGAAACCTCTAACCTGACACAGATAACTTCAACACCAACTTCAACTTCAACTTCACCGAGGTCATATTTTCAAGAGAGCACTCGATAATCCAAGAGATGTTAGATGTTCAGGTCAAGTTCACATTATTAGCAAGGAGAAACCAAAACATTTGGAGGACAGACTTGCTAGACTTCTCAAATAAAGGTAAAAAAATAACGCATCTATTGATGTTTCTATTTTTAAACAGATTTTCCAGGGAACCTTTCTTAGTAATTTATTTTAGCATCAAAAAATGGACATTAGATTTGAAATATTTTTAAGTGCACAACATTTTTTAGTTGGCAGCACATCAGCCATCTTTTTCCTAATGTTCTCTTGAGTCTTCATTGTAATAATGTTTTTGTTTTTTTTTTTCTTTTTTTGAGTCAGAGTCTTACTCTGTTGCCCAGGCTAGCATGCCATGGCGTCAACTTAGCTCACAGCAACCTCAAACTCCTGGGCTCAAGCAATCCTACTGCCTCAGCCTCCCGAGTAGCTGAGACTACAGGCATGCGCCACTATGCCTGGCTAATTTTTTCTATGTATTTGTAGTTGGCCAATTAATTTCTTTCTATTTTTAGTAGAGATGGGAACTCGCTCTTGCTCAGGCTGGTTTCAAACTCCTGACCTTGAGTGATCTCCCCGCCTCGGCCTCCCAGGTAATAATGGGTTTTGAATGCTTGACCTTGTAAAGTTAAATTACATTCCACTTTGGAGGAAAAGAGACACTGAACCAGTAGCACAGACCTCTTTGTTGCTTCTGGTAGGCTGGGGAAAGCACCCTTAACCCTGTGGTTTACTTAAGTCAGGAGAGTCAAGAGGTAGACACAGGCAGAGTGATGGAACTCAAGCATCATAAGACTCCTTTATCAAGTAGGCATAAAAGAGTGCTGTCTAGGCCTGTGTGCCTTCATCTGTAAGGAGCGGAAGGCAGATTTCCAAGATTATGCCACTATCTATATAAAGGATCAATTAGAGAAAATGGTTTTTATAGTAGTTATAGACATGAAGTGATCAAGCAGAAGACTTGGAAGGTAGCAAGAAAAAGAGGAATAGGTGTGTGAATGTGTGTGTGAGGGTCTGTGTGTGTGTGCACGCAAGTGTGTGAGAGGGTGTGTATGTGCATACGTGTGCAAGATGATAGGAAGGAGAATCGGCAGAGTCATTTGACTAAACGGGGATACAGTGGACTGAGGAATATGGAGGTGCATGATTGTGATAAATAAATGCACAGCTGTAATGTCAGGACCTCAGGAAGTGGGGTGTGTCTGTTGGGGGCAGCAGGAGTGGGGATTGTCTGATGGAAGCGCAGGATAATTGAGAGGTTTTGTGGAGGTGTGTGATTGTGAACAGGAAGAGAAGAAACTGAGGTTTTAATAACAGGTGAATGTGTGTAGGTATCAATGGCAAGGAGAAATGTGAAGCAGGTGAGATGAGGGAAGACATAGAGATAGAGAGAGAGAGACTATAACATGAAGCATGTTGAAATATAAAAACATGCACAATTTTCTTTGTAAAAAACTAACTTTACTCTTAACCTTTAGTCTCCATTCACACTGCTATTTCCTTCTTTCTTTCTTTCTTTTTTAAAAAAAATCACAATTTATTTCTTTTCTATGACCACCATCATCTTTCCACACCTGTGCCCACCCACATGGACTATTTGTTGTGCTATTTCCCAGCAGCAGGGTACAATCAGAAAAAAAAGGTAGGCTTTGGCATCAGGTTAAACCAGTTTCAAATCTTAACCCCAATGGTTCCAAGTCTGACCATTTACTAGCAAAGCATTCTGTTTTCTTCTGGCGTCAGCTTTTTTTCCAGCCTCAGCTTCCATCTCTGTAAAATGGATATAGAGCTCACAGAGCTGTGAGGATTAAGTAGCGTAATGTCTGCCCATGTCAGCTGTTTAGTAAACATTAATCTCCTTCCCCTTTTATTCACTCAATCCACAGATATTCGGCAGAATGGCTAGTGTGCCAGTGTTGTTCTGGGGGTGGCTTGGTGAGCGAGGAAATAAAGTCGTGGTCTACGTAAGGTAGGGCAGGCCATGATGGGCAAGCAGATAAGCAATAGAATTATTTTTAAGTTTTCTTTTGTCCTTTCACTGTCTGTGCTTTGTGTGTTCATTAGATCTAAGAGGCCAGTGTCTCAGTCTCGTGTTAGAGGCTTCGCTGGGAAGTCTGGTAGCTAGAAAGCTAGCTAGAAGGGTTATTGTCTGGGCCTTATCTCCGGGGGACGTTTCAGTGTCAGTATCTGTAGACTTTGTCTGCTGGGTTGGTTAGAAGCCGGGAGAAGAGTCTTCCTTCTCCTACCTAGGAAGTACAGGCCCGTCCATGGAGCTGGGGAAGACAGCTGGCCTCTCAGTGTTCAGTGTGTAGACAGACTTTCACTTAAACCTCTCACTTAATCTAGACTTACTCTCTCCAGAAACTAAATCTCCAGTGTCCTCCAGGCCAGAAGAGGGGCACAGATCTCCTCTATGGGGAGGAAAAAGGCATCTAGAATCTGACTGCTTTTTTCTTTTTGTCGTTGTCACACGTCGATTTCTTTAAATTGAGGTGAAATTCATATAAAATTAACCATTTTAAAGTGAACAGTTCAGAGGCATTTTTCAGATTCACAGTGTTATGAGACCTTCTCCTCTATCTAGTTCCAAAACATTTTCATCACCCCAAAGGGAAACTCTGTACCTACTAAGCAATTATTCCCCATTCCTCGCTCCCGCCCCTGGCCCCTGGGCCCCAACAACCACCAAGCTGTATTCTGTCTCTCCAGATATTTTATATAAATGGAATCATATGATACATGCTCTTTCGTGTCTGGCTTCTTTCACTTAGCGTAATGTTTTGAGGTTCATCCACATTGTAGAATGTATCAGTGCTTCATTCCTTTTTACAGGGTGATAATATTCCATTGTGTGGATATACCACATTTTGTTTATCTTGCTGACATTTTGTTTGTTGATGGACATTTGGGCTGTTTCTAGCTGACTGCTTTTTAAACAGATTCGTAGTATGGACTTTCAGCCCTGTGTCCACCCCCCTACCCTCCACACCAGAGATACTTGGTGTGGCTTGAGCCTGTTGGGCTCTCTGATACAATCCTGTTTCTCAGTTTCTCCCACTTAGCTTTCATTTTCTTGTGGTTGCCTAAGTTAGTTATCACTTGTCATTCTGTTCTTCAGCTTCCTAAAGGTTATTGCTGCTGTTATTTTATTAATTATTATTGATTGATTGACTGGTTGAGGCAGGGTCTCACTTTGTGGTCTGAGCATGAGAGCAGTGGCATCATCATAGCTCACTGCAACCTCAAACTCCTGGGCTCAAGTGATCCTCCTGCCTCAGCCTCCGAGTTGCTGGGGACTACAGGTACATGCCACCACACCTGGCTAGCTTTTCTATTTTTTGTAGAGATGGGGTCTTGCTATGTTGCCCAGGCTGGTCCTGCCTGAACGCCTAACTTCAATCCACCTGTCTTGGCCTCCCAAAGTGCTAGGATTATAGGCATGAGCCACTGTGCCTGGCCCATTGCTTTTATTTTTATTTCTATATTCATTGTTCTTATGGGATCTTGCCTTAAAAAAAATTTCTTTGTTAAGATTTTAATGGATTCCCTAAAGGGTGCCAATATAAATACATGGATTTAGTGTACCATATTTTTTCAAATACTTTTTAAGAACATTTTTATTATCAACATAATATAATGGTATTAAAACACATGTTGAGTAAAAAAAAGAGAATCCCAACATCCTAACACAATCACGATTTTCTGTATTTCATTGGTTTTGCACCTGAGCTTGTGTACTTTTATTAAATGTTTAGAATAGTTACAGTCACAGTCTGCCTTCTGCTTTTTCTCAACTTAGAGCATAGTTATTTCCCCATCTCTCCCAGTGTTTCTGGTCATCATTTCAAAAAGTTACCTAATATTCTCTTAAGTTAATATATCATGATTGACTTCAAACCCCCAGTTGAAGTGTTTAGTGTTACATGATGATCTAATATTTTTAAAAATATTTGAATATTTGAAACATTTTAATGCAAGTAATAGAGAAACGTTTTAATGCAAGTATTCTTAGATTTTCAAGTTAAGATTTAAGATATTTAAGAGCTCTCAGGATGAGGAAAAAATTTACTATTAGTCTCTATATGAGCTCTTATTCACATAATATAAGAGCCAGTGTTTTGTGAGTTCTTATTTGAGCCAGGGGTTGTGCTAATGCTTAACTTGTGTTTTCTCCTTGAATCCTTGTAAACACCCTGTGAGTTACTACCAATATTAACCTTGTTTTCAGCTCAGAAAATGGGTGGAGTGTCTGACTCTCTTACTCATCATCAAATAGCCAATAAATGGTAGAGCCAAGGCTTGAAACCAAACTCAGTACTGTTAACCACTGTCCTATTCTCTTTGTAGTCTTTTTTCGCTTAGAACTAAGGGCTAGAAATATTTGAAAGCTCTTTCCTAAAATTATCTTTCAAGAAGTATTACCTGCAACGTGCTGTATACTTTTTATAAGGAGAAAACTAATATTGACCAGTTTTCAGCAAAGACATAACTGCTGTTATTATGAGAATGCAAGATTAGATTGAAATAGGCTTTACATGGTAGGTCCTGAGGCTTCAGTGGTAGGCTTCATGTCACATCCCATTTGCAGCATCACTTATTCATTCTTTCAACAAATCTAAGCAGAGCAGGTTGGCTCACACCTGTAATCCCAGCAACTCAGAAAGCTGAGGTGAGAGGATCTCTTGATCCAAGGAGTTCAAGGCTGTAGTGAGCTATGATCAGCTGTACTATAGCCTGGGCAAGAGAGTAAGACCCCATCTCTTAAAAAAAACAAAACCCCAGGTCCGTTGAGCTTTCACTGAAGAACTTAAATCTGGAAAGCAGACTAAATTCGCGGTGAGTGCAGCCTTGAGGCTTTTAACCTCATTTACTCTTCATGCGGCCTCTTTGTTCTCTGCAGAGATTAATGAGCATCAATTACCTGGGCAGCGTGTACCCCAGCCGAGCAGTGATCACCACCATGAAGGAGCGCCGGGTGGGCAGGATCGTGTTTGTGTCTTCCCAGGCGGGACAGCTGGGACTATTCGGCTTCACGGCCTACTCTTCATCCAAATTTGCCTTACGGGGATTGGCTGAAGCTTTGCAGATGGAGGTAAACATATTCGTTTCTGTATTTATTCCTCCCAGCTCAGCCATATACATTCCTCTTTAGTTTTGGAGCTTCTTTACATATTACTGTATTAAATTAGAGATTTGTAGATTTGACATTATTGAAAGAGAATTGACTCCAACCTGAGTTTTGCAGTTAACATTTTTTCATTGCGTGAAATTATAGTTATGATTTATTGTGTGAAATATAGTTATGATTTTCATTGCGTGAAATTATAGCTATGAATTATAGTTATGACAGATGCAAAATGGTTATGGGGTTTTTGCCCGTTTAATTTGATACACACAGAGTACCAGTAATATCTTCATATTGTATTGGTCTAATACTATATGAGTATGGATAAAGTTAACCAGATATTTTATTCTATGGATATTTTTCTTCAACCAAAAGATCTGTTCTTGTGACTGAATAATAAAATGAGGGAAGAGCTTGAATCAGCTACTGTCTAAATTCTTAGCTTGTAGACAAGTCATTTAACTTGCTTTCAGTTTTCTCATCTGTCAGATGAGAGGGTTGGAATAAAAAAATCATTTGGCTCTCTTACTACTTATATTTTCATATCCTCAGGAAATGTTGAGGAAAGTAGATGCTTTTTATTTTCACAGTTAATAGAACATTTTGTGGAAGAAGGGCGGAGTTAGGATTAGTACCAAAGTAAGTGTTTGTCATGATGTATAGAACCTTATACCTGAGCTGCATGAAGTAGACTTCTTAATCATTGTCACATGGGGATGCTTAGAGAGCATCACATATATATCTATCTATATCACATACAGAAAAAGGCAAAGTAAAGTTCTTTGTTATTGCTATACACAGTTCCAAGACCCCTAGTGGATGCCTGAAACTGCAGATAGTACCAAACCCTATATATACTATGTTTTTTGCTATATATACATACCTATGATAAAGTTTAATTTATAAATTAGACACAGTAAGAGATTAACAACATAACTAATAATAAAACAGAACAATTATAACAGTAGACTATAATAAAAGTTATGTGGATGTGGTCTCTTTCTCTCAAAATATCTTATTCTACTATAATCACCTATTTTTGGACCTTGGTTGACTGCAGGTAGCTGAAACCACAGAAAGAGAAACCGCAGATAAAGGGGGACTACTGTATGCTGAAATATAACATTACATCATGATGTTCAAAACCTAGAAGAGAATTCGTTGTTTGGCCCTCTTGTACTAAGAGGGGGCTTTTGGGAAACCTGGTTAATGACTTAGATCATGGGTTGGTAAAACTTTTTTAGTGAAGGACCAGATTGTAAATATTTTAGGCTTTGAAGGCTAAATGGTGTCTATCACAACTACTCAAGTTTGCTGTGGTAGTAGGAAAGCAGCCATAGTAGATAATATATAAATGAATAGGTGTGGCTGTGTTCCAATAAAACTTTATTTATAAAAACAGGCAGAGGGCCAGATTAGGCATATAGGCCATAGATTGCCAGCCTTGTTTAGAAGATCCTCAGAAGGGACCTTTATGGTGTATGATGGAGTGCCACACTGCCTAGATAATAGGTGAGTACTGCAGTACAGATGAGTTGGATCAGCGGCTGAGTCCTGATGCGCTACTTGGGGACTGATAGACTGGGCCATTATCATACCAAAGGAACCAGCCACAGATTCCATCGTTAACAACTGGTTTAATACTCTTAATGAATAATAGACCATTACAATATGCTTAGCCAATAGGGCACACATGGCTATGAACTTTCAAACAAGAATTCTGATTTTTTTTTTTTTGCATTCTTTATTTTGAAAAAGTACCTTTGTGAATAACCATTTTATTTTTATCACAGTTTTGGGTTTTTTGTTTGTTTGTTTGTTTTTTGAGAGGGGTCTCACTATGTTGCCCAGGCTGATCTCAAACTCCTGGCCTCAAACAGTCCTTGCACCTCGGCCTCCCAAGTCTGGGTTTACAGGCGTGAGCCACCACATCCAGATTTATCACAGTTTTGTGAACTATGTGAGGTAGATGTTGTCATGCCACTTTTTAAATGAGAAAATTGAGTTTTCTATAAATTCAGTGAGTTTCTCAAAGGCACATAGTTGCTTAATGACTGATAAAAACAAGGCCCAAGCTCTTGACTGCACATCTCTTTTGCAGCAGGTGATGGAGGTCAGAGCTTGCTTAATTCATCCAGTTAGTTGCCTCAGCCTTTTACTTCGGTCTCAGACTCCATGTAGGTGAAGGTGTGTTTTGGAGATGAAAAATTTGCACATTAGGGCTTTTTGCAGAGTTGTGTCCGGATTCACTAATTTAGAGCAAAACCCAAATCTGGGTCGCCTGGTTTCACTTCAGGTAGAGCGGAGATGCTAATAAAGAAGAGGACAAAGAAAGGGAATTGCTAGTATAGAGTCCCCTCAGCCTCCCTGTGACACGTGCAATTCCCACGCTGCAGAGAGCTGGCCTGGACTTTCAAGTTGGCTTGACTTCTGTCCATATTTGGACTGCATTAAAAATGTCCTCACTTAGCTATGATCAAGCCACTGCACTCTAGCCTGGTGACAGAGTGAGGCTCTGTCTCAAAAAAAAAAAAAGTTCTCACTTGAACAAAAATTAAAATTAATCTATACCATGAAAAATAGTTTTAGGGGAAAATAAATTTAGTCATCAAAATCTATTTCATTCGTAGTAAGGCTTGCATCAAATAAATTGTTTCCCTACGAATTTATGGTAGTGTTTTTTAGAAACCTGGATAATTTGATCAAGGTGGTTGTGTTTTCTATAAATGAAATCTTATATAATTGCTCAAAGTCTAAGTGCTTTTGATGATCTTTTTTAGTTCAATTAACTTTGGGGTCTTCCTGTCTCCCTCTCATCGCCCCCAAACTAAGGCAGGGCCCTGCCAGTATTGTTGTAGGTACAATGAGTAATTTTGAAAGGATACTTTGTTGGCAATTTTTTTTTGTCTTTTTTCTTACTCAGTCTTTTAGGAGCGAATATATTTTTTAAAGATTTTAAAAGGTTATCTTTTTGGAAAGCAGACTTCTGAGGTGGGTAATAGCTAAAGACATGTTAACAGAGATCAAGCCAAAAAAACAAAAAAATGTAGCTGTCTCCTTTTTGCGTATCTTACCCCTATCATGCCCCTCCCCTGCCTTTGTCTCTACCTGCTATAATAGGAAAGTAAGCTAAAGCTTAAATTCTGGAGTTTGTGTAAACAGCTATAATCTTCTCCCAGCCACCTGTCTTTGTTCTGATGGAACGAGGAACTACACATTCTAGGTGGATTATTTTGATAATGAATTCATTCTTGAGCCAGTGGTCTGTTGTCTTTCTGTTTAAGGTTGAGGCCAGGCAGAAGGGAGAAAGTGGTGATAGCAGGGTGGGAGTGGGGCACAGCGGGGGGACAGAGAGCAGCCAGGCGACAGGCACAAGGAGAAGCAGTGGCTAGGTCAGCTAGTGAAGACCTGGCTTATCTATTCTTAGAAAAAGTAGTGTCTCAGGGAGTGTCTCACTGTCTTACCATGAGCAAGTGAAGCCAAGCTACCCTCATTTCCTTTTTTTATAGGGTTATGAGATCGGTAGATTGAAGAAAGGTGTAAATATAGATTGGTGTATTCGGCTTTTAGCAAATTATTTGAGCTAGAGTTTCAGGAGACTAGAATCTCCATGAAGGCAGGGATTATGTTTGTTCACATTCATATGCTTCATTAAGAATGATATTGGCACATAGTAGTGATTGAGTAAGTATACATTGGATGAATAAATGCAAGACTGCATAAATGGTCAAGTGACCAGCCACCAGAGGTATTCAGCCTTAGACTGGCAGTCGTTCGGCTTGTTGGTCATAGAAAGGATACCAGCCCAGAGCAGGGCTGGACTGATTTCTCCTGCCCCCACGACAAAGCTGTTCTGAAAAGCTCTGTATAACCTCTGGCAATTCAGCCAAAATCTTGAGTTTGAGAAGCAGTGCTTTGACATTAGCTTAGGCACCACAATCCTTGCTTCTGAGGAACAGCACAGAAACAACCGCGTCTGAGCAGTCAGGCTCAGTCTCTGTAGAGGCTAATGACCGTGGATGGGCTGTTTTGTGGGGTTTTTCTCTGGTCTGTGCACAGTACAGGGCAAGGCTGTGGGAAACATTTTTTTTTTAAAGCCACTCTCTCAAAAACAGTGGAAGAGAAGTTGCTTGCTCATCAGGCTCATTGCCTGGCCCCAGTCCAGAGCTATTTCTGAGTGTAGCTGGGCCATGCAGCTGCACGCCTCAGTGATGCCGAGCGGACGGGCTGTCCCATGCCCTAGTTGCATTAGAACAGAACCAACAAAGACACCTCCCTTTTGCTACTGTGCTTTCCAGGGTGGCTGGCCAGGATCTGCTGATATGCTTCTGCAGGCTTCCCCGACCCCTGCAGCTCCTGCCACAAGCCTCGGAACTGTACTTCACTAAGGGGGACCTAGGGAGCAAAGGGATCCATGATCAGACAGGACCCTGGGTGCTCTGTGAAGCTGTTGCGTGAGGCAGTGCTGTTGTTGTCTGTTCTCAGCTCAGGTACCCAGTGCCTCTCCACTTCCAGATCCCCTGGGTGTTTTCATGGGGACCAAAAATGAGCCAGTAGCAAACAGAAATCATGGCAAAGAGATTCTGATGGTATGAGCCATTGCCCTAATTACCAGGGCAAGATAAGAGTGTGTAGCAGGGCGGTTGCTGAGCAGAGTCTTTGGGAAGGGCGTGTCTGGTATGCCCAGCAGAAGAATCTGTGATTCTGTGGGGGCGTGTTTATGAGTAGGTGTGGAGGCATGGTGGGGAGGGAAACAAGGGTAATAAGCTGTTCCCAGTTTCGAGTATCAGAGGAGTGAGATGGAACTTTAGATAAGACAAAAGAGTTCCTTTATGTAAACGTAGGCTGAGGTGGTTCACAGGGAGGTGGTTGGCTGGTCTGACAGCAGGGGTTGCAACCAGCAGGAGGGTGTTCTCTGTTGGTTCTGTGAAGAAGGAAGCGACTCTTGACCTCTTAATGGTTAATGGTCAGGGGTGATTGTGCAGGGAATTCTCAAATAAGCAAACTTCTTAGGGACAGATACAGTTCTAGACTGGGCCTGGGGAGCACAGCAAGGCCACAGGGGAAGGGATTTTAATGACTTTAAGCCTATTTCGTAGATATCAACAGAAGCAGCCTGAAGGGAAAACAAATTTGCAGTCTGGGGGAGGAGGGAGGAGCAGGCCAGTCCCACTGCTTTGGCGAAGTGCTTGAATGGTGTGCAGTGTTCAGGGAGAAAGTGAACAGACCTTTTTTTTTTAAATGCTGCCTGCTCTCCTGGTTAGACAGCTCCCCAGGCCTCTGCTTAGGTGGCCAGAGTGGAGGACACTGAGGAGGAGGTGATTTGCTGTACTTTTCGGATCAGCTGAGATAGGGATGAGTTTTCTGCCTCCATTTCAGAGTCATCTTTGTGGAGCGGAGTTTCTCGATGCAATTGGTGGTACTTCTCCACTCATGGAACCACCCTGTTGGTCTCACCACAGTTTGAGAATCAGGACAGCCAGTGCAGGTTGGCAGTGCAGGGCCTCAGGTTTTGTCCCATTCACTGAAGGTGCATGTGTCGTTTCTGAAATGCAGGTGAAGCCGTACAATGTCTACGTCACAGTTGCCTACCCGCCAGACACAGACACCCCTGGGCTAGCTGAAGAAAACAAAACAAAGGTCAGTATTCCCACGTGTCCCATTTTGAATCTTTAATGTCGTAAACCCACTTTTCTAATTTTCTTTCTACTCTTCAGCTCACACTTGTTTTTGTCAGCCAGCAACGTCCATCAAGTGTCTGTCAGGTGCAGGGCACCGAGCTGGTTTCTGACGACCTTCCTGAAGTTCTCCAGGCAAATCTTCCTTCTTTCCTTCCTCTCTTCCCTCACCCCCTTTTCTTAAAGTTTAATTTAAATTTTTTTTCAAATTGTTACCAGAGACATATGTCACACAGTTTTAGAGGTCCAATATCAACCCTTAGCCTCATCTACCCCGTTCCTGATTTCTGCTCCCAAAAGGTAGCTGTTTATTTTAACTAACATGTTTATACTGCTATTTTTTTTAAGATATAGAAATTATTCACTGACTTTCTGGTGTGGAAGATAAAATTTAAGAATCATTTCTGTTCCCCACTCCCTATGTCAGGGGTCCTCAAACTTTTTAAACAGGGCCAGTTCACTGTCCCTCAGACCGTTGGAGAGCTCACACTGTGGGCCCGGGGCGAGTCGGCTGCTAAGCAGGACAGGCAGCGGTGGCAAAAACAGCCAGCGGGCTGGATAAATGTCCTAGGCGGGCGGCCCTAGAGGACGGGTGGCCTGTGTTTGAGGACGCCTGCTGTACTCCCTCCATCACTGGTTAATCAGGTTCAGTGTTTAAAGTTTTATAATGGGACTTTATAAACATTCTTCATACCTGAGCCACTCTATAATGGCATTTCCTTTCTTCCCTTTTCATTTGCTTAGCTTTGTGTGTATCTATTAATATAACTAATTCAACCCCAGATTCAGGCAGACTGAGAATCTCCTTTTGATTCATTTGAGCACATGGGTATTCTGTTAATTTCACTCTTTTTTCCTCAAAGACGTTTCTTCTGGGGTCCTCCTGCTTCCTGGTAATTCTAGGTCTGCTGCCTAATGGTGGTCTCAGGACTTGTCTTCACCATCATTCTGCAAGTTCCCCTTGCCTTTTCCTTTGGTGGATCCTGTATGTTTCACTTTTTTGGTTTATCTACTCGTTTGGTGGATCCGTTAACTTCCTGAAAAAAGCACATCAGAGGTAACGTTTTTTTTTTAGAGTGAAAATACCTTTGTTTTCACTTTATTTTTGATGGATTGTTTTTTTCGGTATAGAATTATAGTTTGGAAGTAATGTTTCCTAGATTTTTGTGGGTGTTTATTGATATCTAACTTCCAGAGTTTCCATTGGTAATCTGATGCCATGTGGAGTCCCAACCCTTTGCATAGGACCCATTTATCTTTTGAAAGTGTTTTATCCCTTTCTGTCTTTACTTAATGTATTTTGGTGTGGAACCATCTCATTCCATATACTAGATACTCAAATGAGCTCTTTTATTTTGTCAACTCACGAACTTTGTTTCTGGGACTTTTTATTATATATTCTTTGATAATTTCTTTCCATCCCAATTATTTCAAGTGTTCATTGTTTCTGGAGCTTCTGTTACTCAGATATTGAACTTTCTAGGCTGATCCTCTAATTTCCTTTCTCTCATTTTCTATCTCTTGGTCTTTTTCTTCCACTTTCTAGTCTTACTAAGTTTATCCTTAAACTTTTCTGTTGAAATTTTTACTTCTGCTGACTTATATAAAAATTCTTTCAGATACCATTTCTCTGAATATTTTAGAAAGTTTTTGTTATAGCTTCTTGCCTTGTTTTATGGATTTTATATTTTCTCTTATTTCTAAGAATATTTATTCTGGGCTTTTGGTCTTGTTTTTATTATTGTTTTCTTATTTAAAGTTTTCCACTATAACTTGTTTTTTCTGTTTCCTCTGAGTTCCTTTTTATCTGTTGTTGTTATCTTGGGCTTCCTCAAATGTCCAGTGATCCTTGGTTGTCCACATTTAAGAGTGAGGCTCTGGCTTCTCAACTGTTCATTTTACCATAGGGGGATCAGGAGGAATGCAGCCACTTCTTTAGCATTAGATGATTGCTCTATGTCAGCAGCTGCCCACCTTCCCTCAGGGTTTGAACAATTTCCCTAGTGAGGAATCATGTAGTCTTCAGCCCTGGGGAGAGTAAGACCTGCTCTCTGTGTTGTGAGAGCCAAGCAGGCAGGGTCACGGGGGAGAGCTCACCATTTAGTACCAGTTTCCTACAAGGTGTCACAGATCTACTCTTGGTAGTGGCTGCTGTTCTAGCTTGAAGAGCCTCTGATTAGTAAACTTCTAATTTTCTGCCATTGTCAGGGAGATGATTTGGGGTCTGATGATTTGGGTCTCCATAGCACTTTCCACGGCCGGACATACCCATTGCACAAAATGACTGCCAACAATCACCCTGAGCTGAACACAAGTGTCAGGCTTTGTTACAAACACCCTCTTTGCCTTAGTGACACAGTAGTCACTCTCAAAGCAAACCAGTAAGTGAAGTGGGAAGAAAGGAATCAATCAGAACTTACCACCTTGCACTGTGGCCGATTTTAGTTGTAGGTTTTTGTTTTCTTCCCTTTTATAGTAATACTTTGTAAGTGTGAATCTCCATAGCATAAAAAAATGGCACTTATGCTCCATAGACTGTACATTTGCAGAAAGATGTTTATGATTTAAAAGCCATTCTTTTCTCTTTGACTCTGCCTCTTTTAAAATTACTACTATTTCAAAGAAGTAAATTTAAGGCAAATGTGCTGTCTTAGAATAAGCAGAGATCTGTTAAGCAGATTTGCAACATTTGGTATGCAGTCTTTTAGTTTGAAGCCAAAGCTGACAAAGGGTGGTGATTTCTCTCTTAAGACTTGCTTCTGATGTTGATTAAGTTGGGGTTTTTTTTTCCCCTCCAATAAAATTTTGGTCAGACTTGTTTGGGTAAATAAAATTTGATGTTGTTCTATGTGCCCCTTAGGGGGCGCCATAGTGCTTTTAAGTCTACATGTTTATGTCAACTTGGTGGTCTGGGAGAATGGGAATAGTGGCACCTTCAAAAGGGCCCTTCTCTTAATTCAGGTTCATCAAGAAATACTTGACTTTTATGGAATGCTTTACTTTTCTATTTTAAGAAAATATATTGTTTTTTATTTTCTTTAATTTTTTCAAGACAATGTAGTAAATACAATTTATAGTCTCATGCAGTTTAAGGCTTTAGTTTGAAACTCCTAATCAAAAGTCTTTTTTAAATAATTTTTGAGCACACATGTTTAAATCACCACAAAGAATAATCAAAGATAAATGGGGAAAAAAAAAAGACCCTGCCCACAAGAAACTTAGGAGGTAAAAATGTAAATACACACATGGCTAATATGTGTGTAATATACACACAATGTATATTATGGCAGAAATGTTCAAAGAAAAGAGAAAGATTATTCCCAGTTAAGAATTCAGGAAAGGCTTTTTGAGCTAGATGAGAGTTGAGATGACCTATTGAAGAAGAAAAAGCCATGGTTTAGAGTCTGAAGCACCAACCTAGAGCATGCAACTGAACTGGGGGCCAATCCACGTTGTCTAGTAGGTGGCTCCTTTTATCGTCCTATTGCTTTGCCACCTCTGCAGGTCCTTTAAGAAACAGCTACAGTTGAACAGGGGCTGGGTTGGGGCTCTCATTGTCCAGAGGCTTAGCTCTGTCCCCAGAGCGCAGTCCTCTGCCGGCCTGAGAGTATGGTCAGATGGAGTGCTGGTCACGGGACACAGGGTCTAGCCTTTGCATAAGCACCATCAGTTAGGAGGAGTCAAAGAGGGGGTCCTTCTGAACTTGTATCCAGTGATGTGTTTTCGCTTTAGCTTCCATGGTCCTCATTGGAGCTGAGACTACACATGTCCTAAGAGAATGATTAGGGCCTCCTTGTCTTGCCTCAGCTACTAGGCTGAATTTTACATATTAACCAGGTTGAAACTGATTAGAATCCAGATGGGCCTTATTCTAAAAAATAGGAATCTTATCAGAAGTGGAAGATTGGAATTATGTATAAATCATGGAACTATAAAATAATTTATTTTTTGATGTAATGGGCAATAATGATATTGATATATACATTTTTTTTCCACCTTTAGCCTTTAGAGACTCGACTCATTTCAGAGACCTCATCTGTTTGCAAACCAGAACAGGTGGCCAAACAAATTGTTAAAGATGCCATAGTAAGTAAAATCTTTGTTGTGTTTTTTATACTATTTGTAGTTGTAGTACTACACTGCTGGAAAGATATTTGTCCAAAGACTTATTTCAAAACATAAATTATTATAATTTTTTAGTCAGATTCATTGTATCTAATATTGGACTCTACTTTTGTTCACTTTAAGATTTTATTGTTAGTAGGTTCCTGGAAACTAATTATATACTTTAACCTTAGGAACAGATTTACCAGTAAGGATGTCTGGGGACTTTGGTTATTTAAAAAGAAAATGAGGCCAGGTGTGGTGGCTCATGCCTGTAATCCCAGAGCTTTGGGAGGCCGAGGCAGGAAGATTGCTTTAAGCCAGGAGTTTGAGACCAGCCTGGGCAACATAGCAAGACCCCATCTCGACAAAAAATAAAAACATTAGCTAGGCATGGTGGCACGTGCCTGTGGTTCTAGCTACTTGGGAGGCTGAGGTGGAAGGATCACTTGAGCCCAGGACTTCGAGGCTGCAGTGAGCTATGGTTGTGCCACTACACTCCAGCCTGGGTGGGCAGGCTCTCCCACAAGACCTTGTCTCTAAAATAAAAAAAATTTTTTAAAAGAGATTTTTCTATAATATGTAAACACTATATATTTTATACTATATACTATATGTATATTGTTGCCTTCTTTCTTTTTTCCCCACAGTACTTTTAGTTTTAGATTATTTCAGATACCTTATTGCCAGGCTTCTTGTTTAAAGATTTTTCTTTCCACTTCCAGCTTCCCAGTATCATTTTCCAAAAAGTTAACTTATAAGAAAGCACGACCAGCTCACTGGGTCCATCACCCGTCCTCCCAGCTGATGTGCTTTTTGGGCTACTAAGTTTACTTGCAATCAAAAAGGGTATCTTTAGAAGCCATGTGCTATTTTCTAGAACAACATATGTGCCACATTCTTTTTTACAATCATCCTGGCAGTTCTCTGTAAGTGGTCAAAAAAAAAAAAAAAAGAAAAAGAAAAAGAAATACAATCATCCTGTTAACCCACATGCAGAAAAATATACGTTTATGAGGGGTGTCTGTAAACCACATTGAATTTGGAAAATCTTTAGGCCCATTGGAATGAGGGTGTAAGCACATGGAGGGTCAGCCCTGAAGTAGCCTGAGTACTATTGCATCAGGCTGGACTGAGCAGAGTAAAAGAAATGCCAAACCCGTCACACAGGTGTGAAGGACTCTTCCCTGAGTACGCTAAAAGGCATAGGAAGATGGCACAAGTGGCTTGCGTGGGACTTTGTTTTTCCTGCTTATCTCAAATAAAAGGAAACACTCAATGTTTTTAATCATCCTCGGTAGCTCTTAGTGTTTTGGCAGGATTCATTTAATCTGGTGGTTTTCAAACCTTTTCTTTTCTTGACCACCGTACACTCTTAAAGGTTGTTGACAATCCCAGAGAACTTTATTTACACAGGTTATATTGATTGGTATTTGCCATATTAGAAATTGAAACTGTAATTTAAAAAAATATATTAATTTATTTAAAATGATAATAAACTGATTGCATTTTAATGTGACCTTTTTTTAAAACAAAAATTACTATTTTTCAAAACAAAAATTCAGTGACAGGAGTGGCATCTTTCACATTTTCACCAGTCTCTTTAAGGTCTGTGTTAATGGGAGACAGCTGGATTCACATAACTGCTTCTGCATTCAATCTGTTGTAATATGTTGTTGTGATTGAAGAATATGAAGGAAATCCAGCCCTACACAGATATGGAGTTGGACAAAGGAGGAGTATTTTACTAGGCTTTGTAGATCATTGTAGACATTCTTTTTTTGATATCAAACCCAAACTCAACAAATGGTAGTTTCTTAAAAGTTAGTTACAATATAGAATTGGAAACCACATCAATGAACTTTTTGTTCTCTGTTGCATTAAATTCCATTAGTCTGCCTTGCACTTTGAATGGATCTTTTAACCATTCATGATTTTGTAACATTATGCATTAGTCATTTGGAAAATATGGGTTCACTGAATGACCAAAAAAAATTACATTCGTCAATATCAATGCTGGTTTCATCATAAAAGTCTGTATGTGTTGAGAAGCTGACAGTCTCACAATGGCAGAGTCTAGTTTTCACAAATCTTAATTTTTTCTTGAAAGCTCAGATTTTAACATTGACCACATGTGTGGCCAGTTGTTTTCCTAAAGCAGCAGGCTCACTTTATTATTTTCCACAAGTCTGCTATGTACGCAAGCAAGTCTGGAAAAAGCAGCAGGTTTAGCTCTTGACTTAAACAGTTGCACAAGGGCTTTTCTTCCAGGCGCCTATCATTCTTTGGTATGCAACTTGGCATAAGCGCTTTGTGCCTATTTCTCATTTGTCACACGAGGTATTAGCCTTTGGAACCCATGTCATCAAGGGTTGTGATTTAATAAAGTGATGAATTTTATTGCTTTATCAAGAACATTTTAAAACAAAACTGACACTTTTAATTTTTTAAAGATTTTTAGAAGTTGTATTTTCTTTATATATTTATTTATTACTGCAAGCACATGTGGCAATAGAGGTGATGGTGACTACTAGTCCATTTTGGCAAGAACACTGAAATTTGTCCTAATGCTCCGCAGTTTTGCCTATCAGTACAATGTCACTCTGGTGAAATATATCATTACTGTCTTAGGATTATTACGGCAGTCATTTTGTCCTTGGGGACCTGCAGGGGCCCGTGGACTCACATTTTGAGAAGCACCTATTTACCAAGCCTGTGTATCCAGTTATGAGTTCTGATACTGTGCTTTGTTTCTGTCTTATTCCACCTAAAGTGAACAAACATACTGCATTATTTCTGATATGCTGAACTCATATCTTTCCATGTTACTGTGATTCCCTCTTTCTTTTTTCTTCCTTCTCTTTCAGCAAGGAAATTTTAACAGTTCCATTGGCTCAGATGGGTACATGCTCTCGGCCCTGACCTGTGGGATGGCTCCAGTAACTTCTATTACTGAAGGGCTTCAGCAGGTAAGTTCTGCCTGGGCCAGCAATCAGACAGACCGACACATGGGTGGACATGACACAAACTGCCTCTCACTAGACTTGATGGGAGAAGGACAAGGGAAGACTAAGTAACTTTACTTGAGAGTGTGAAGAATTTTTATGGAGCTATCAACTTTTCCTCTTTCTCTGCTAGGAATAAATAAATAGGAAATAGGTTAAAGTTATAACTTCAGGAATTTAGACTGGGAAGAAGTCTTCCGTGCTGGGCCTTGCAGATAGAAAGCTAAAATGCCATCTCTGCTGTTGAGGTGATAATCTGGATTCTCATCTAAAAATCACTTCTCCAGAGTTTTGAAAAATGGAATCCTCCTCTGTCTGAAGTAGTTTAGAGGTGGCCTTGGTTAAAAGTACTGGGGTGTTAAACTGGAAAACCTTTCCTAGGGGAGTCGGGTAACAGTACAAATCAAGGATTAAACACAGTTCCTACCCCTGTGGAATTTATTGTTTTATCCAAGACACAAAAGGTAATAGTAGTTCATTGATGGGTGAGGTGCTGAGTTTGCTCCTGGAAAATCAGATGTTAGGCAACCTCAGGGATCTTACGGTGTAGTGGGAGAGACTGACAGCAAGGATGATAGTAGTAAAGTGTTATAAGAGTTTCATTAGAGGAATTGTTCTGGAAGGACAAAGCCGTGGGCTAGTTCATGACACCTACTAAATTCTGTGCAGTAGACCGTGATCAGACTAAGGCAAATGACTTAGTTGTTGGTTTTCCTCGGGTCTTTCCGAAGCCCTCTTTCCTTTTCACTCTGTAATATACCCATGATCTTGTCTTTCTCTCTTGGAGGTTGACACTGTATTAGATATAAACTCTTTGGGGACAGGTCCATGTCGCTCTTGTTTGTCATTGTACTTCTAGCAGCCAGCGCCTGGCACTCAGCAGAACTCTAGAACAACTGAGTAGAACAAATGCATGAATTCTTTTTTAAAAAAGTTTTTTATTGCTCTATCATATATTTTTGGGATACATGTGATATTTGATATTTGTATACAATGCATAATGATCAAATCAGGATACTTGGGGAAATCTATCACCTCGAACATTTATCTTTGAGTTGGTAACATTATAATTCTTCTCTTGTAGCTATTTTTAAATATACAATAAATTCCTGATACTATAATTTCCCTATTATACTGCCGAATTCTAAAACTTATTCCTTCTGACTTTATATTTGTACTCCTAACCAACCTGTCTTTCCTCCCCTCCTGAATGGGTGAATTCTGCACATTCTCCATGGGCGATCCCATCCTTTCTCGTGACTTCCACTTCTACACAAATGATGCCAAGGATAAAACTCCAGCCCATAACTAGTGTCTGAACTCTAATTCTGCATAAACATTTATAGATATTTTAGATATTTTCCCTGGGAAGTGATGAAACATCTTCTATTCAGTGTGCATCCTGCTGCCTGCCTCATGCACCTCCTCCTCCTCCTCCTCCTCTGTCTGTCTCTGGGAACTGTGCTCACGTTCACACAGCGCCCAGCCACAAACTGGGGTATCATCCCCAACTCCCCTGCTTTTGTCCCTTATATCAGGGACCGTACCTCACCCCCATCACTCTATTTCTCCATTCTGTTTTCTACAATCCTGTTGCTGCTCCTGGATCTCAGGCCTGGGTCGCTGTAGTAACTTGCTCAAGTTGTACACTTTGCGAGCCAGAGTTTGTAAATGGGGTCCCAAGGGCCTGTAAAACAAGTTTTGTTTGGTCCATCTGGCATGAGAGTGTGTGTTCAAATAAAATAGTTTTAAAATTAGATTTTACATCAAAAAGTCCAGATTTTAGACTTTTCTTAGAAAACGAGAAGGTCTAGTAGCCCGGGGTCGCATTCTCACGTGGTAGTCATCAGTGGGCACAGGTGGCAGCTGCTCCCGTGGAACAAGGCACAGCCCCCTCAATCACTGTGGTCTGTAGCCCCCTGCCCGGGCCCCTGGATGTGCTGGAGTGTGTCATCACGTGTTCCACACTGGTTTTTCTAAACTGCAAATCTACCTTGCTTTAAAGCCTTTCAGTGGCTCCCCAATACCAATACTGGGATGAAGCTTAAATTCTACTGCAGGGCACAAGCCCTCTAACCTCCTACCCACTTACCTTTAGGCCTCTTTTCTTTCTTTCACTACCCTTCCTCTTCTTTCTGGAACTTGATCTGTGGCCTACCAACTTCTAATATTCCTTCAGTTCTCACCTTTAAATGTTGCTTTTTCCAGACAACTCCAGGACTGGTGCTCTGAGGATATGGCGGTGGGGGTGGGGGGGGACCAAAGTGGTTTTTCTATTCTCTCACTAGACAATCAACACAGAAGGCTTCTGTGACTTCTGGTCACCAAGAAGTATGTGGGGATTTCTCCCCGACAACAGCCAATCAGTCAGTTCTGCACCAGTTGGATGTCCCATAATTCACTTCAATTCTGACACTGTCTACCTTGAAATAGAGCCAGATCCCACAGCTTAAGGGCCCAGCCCCACAAGACTGCCCTGCACCTGGGACACCAATCACAAGTAATAGGTGTCACCGATAATTCTGTCTGATCAGCTATGAATTGGGGTTTCTACAGTCCCTTCCTTGGGTTTGGTTAATTTGCTAGGATGGCTCACAGAACTCTGAGAAACACTTAATTGCATTCTCTGATTTGTTATAAAGGACATTACAGTGGATACAGATGAAGGGAGAGATGGGCCAGGCACATAAGGAAGGGTGTGGAGCTTCCGTGCCCTCTCTGGGCGTGCCCAGGAGCCTGGTGCAGAGCTGATGCCTTGGGGGACTGTGGCTTCCCCACCACGGTCATGCTGGGGAGTTGCCTCAGCTTCTCTTCAGTATTGGGTTCTCTGGTGCTTCTGTCTCGTGACATTGGCATTCTGTGCTGACCTTCTCATCTTGGTCGTTTACCTCTTCTGCTAGCTTTCTGAAAACAGGGCCTGGGAGGCAAATTTGTTGACCTTGCCTATTTGAAAATTTTTCTGTCTGTAGTTTTATGCCTTTTTAAAGTCCCATTTGGAGTTGTTCTAATGAGAGTCTTTTAGTGGAAAGAGTAAAGGTAAATGGATATGGGTAATTGCTGTCTTACCCCAGAAACCGGAATTGCCTTTTTACTCGATTGTCGTTACAGTCTGAGAATAAGTTCGTTGAAGGCAGGGACTGTGTATTTCTCACCACAGCTTTTCTGCACCTAGTATAGGGTCTCGCTTTTGTGCTCAGAACATACATGTTAAACTGAAAAGCCTTGATTGTAGTTTGGATATTTGGGATGCTGGAGTGGATCTTTCCTAGCTATGATAACCCTAAGACTACTAAGAATATGCATTTTGTTCTGTTTATGGTTTGAATGTACTAATTGGACAAATAGTTTACTATCCATCTGGCAGGCCCTGTGCTATACAGTGGTGCAGGGCACACATATTTTGTTCTTAGGGCCTACTGATGTTTACAAAATTTTTACTATACTTGTCCTTGGAGCAGATTAGAAGATGTCTTGGAAACTATTTATTAGGGACCTAAATACCTTAAAATGAACTATTGTATTGTACTCTTGGATGAGCTAAAATGTCTCTCTCTATCGTGCAGGTGGTCACCATGGGCCTTTTCCGCACCATTGCTTTGTTCTACCTTGGAAGTTTCGATAGCATAGTTCGCCGCTGCATGATGCAGAGAGAAAAATCTGAAATCACAGATAAAACTGCCTAATTCCTCCCCCTTGGAAGAAGACTGTTTCCAAATAATTTGAACATCTTGCTGCTAAATGGGACCCAATTTTTGGCCTATAGACACTTATGTATTGTTTCTGATTATGTGAGATTGGACCGGTGCTCTTCAGAAATATGGCTGCACGCAAGGAGATAGAAGCTCAACTCCAGACAATATCATTAATACTATGCAAATATGGAATAGGAGACCATTTGATCTTCTGGGCTTTGAGATGGAGAGGTGATGGTATGAGAACTAGTAGCATGTGAATAAGGTAAAGAACAGAATTCCAGAATGGTAATTTAACATTTTTTTTCTAATTATTTTTTACCCC